TCCATCATTCAAACAAATAGGCCACCAGTTGTCCACTTTAAATCCGATCAGGAAAACTGTTTATTTCCTGGAATTTTATTGTCAAAAAATGCACAAAAATGAACAAAACTGAAATTTCAAGATAGAAAACAGTTTCTGCTTTTTATTTACAATAATTAAGTGCTTGATAGACTTGATACATTAGAATTACATCTATACAGAAACATTACAACATACCCCACTGTACCTAAAACAAAATAGAATATAGCAGATTCCATTAATAATAGGTATGTCAGGTAGAATATTGGTGGGAGAGGGAAAAAAAAGTAGTAGCCTAGTTGTAGATCAGGAAGATATGAAAAATGTTTTGTGGGGACATTTTAAGCACTCTAAATAGTTTCAAGTATATAATATTTTTTACAATAACAATGTCTGTATAATCAATATATTAAAATGAATGTGAAGTGTACATATATATTGTCACATGTGTCTTTATATATTGAAATATTGACAGTGTTTGAAACTAATTCAAGTCCAACAGTTTAATATTGATGTCTTGAAAACTGTTTGGAACAGTCAAATCCAGAATGTGCAAAATAAAAACACTTTCTCAAAGGAATTTCATGATTCCTCAACAGTTAACAATAAGATACATTTTCAGTTTAAATGTAGTGAAATATCTGGAATAAATAAAGGAACGGGTTAATCAAATTCTGGATATCTCTGTTGGAAACAAGGCCACCACAGTGAAATATGGTCAAGAAACTATTTTACAGGATTGCGAAAATGTTATTTGAGACCTAAATCAAGACCAAATTAGTTAAGCTTCCAAATTCTCTCTGTGGGCCAATATAAGTGTACTTTTTATATAATTACATACCCCCCCCCCCCCACCTCCATGAATTCTTGCAGGAATTCTCCTTGGAATGACAATCAAATAACATTTATGTCAACATAATTGATTTAATAAAATAGATGAAGCAATTGTGTTTTAAAATGAGACAGAGCAACATTATTAAAGGGCATGTAAGGGAATATTACAAAGATCCCATCATGGTTATTTTAAGACTAAGGAATGCAGGTATAGGAAGTGTGGTAGTACTCATTGCAGATAACATTAAACAAATTCATGTGCAGGGCAGCCAACAAGTTGGGGGAACTCTGGTAATACACTAGAATCAATGCAGTTTCGGAGATTCCCAAACATCTGTGATCAAAGATTGTGCCACATCTGTGCAGCCACAAATGTTGTCAATTAAAAAAATTATTAATTTAAAGTGACAACACTATGTGCAATTGGAAAATAGGAATAATTCATTTGAATGTCCTTCACAGAAACTGATCAATGAATGGAAACAGTTCAACTGCAATAGTTCATTGCTGTCAAATCTTTTTTGCAGTGCATTTTGAATTCACAATATAAACAGACTAAACATCAAGAAGACTTTGAAAATGCATTGATTCTCACCCAAGATAACATAAATAAATGACATACATGGAGATGCATAACATCTTACACAAAACCCTAAAGTAACTGTAGTTCGGAAAGTATATTTACTAAATTTTAGTCTAGAAGGGGAAAATAGAGTAATGTCTGTACCTTTGTGAATTTAAATTAGTTGATTTAACATATTTATATTATATAAAAAAAAAAGACGTACAAACACTTCACTTTTCATGCATACATATTGTACATGAGTGTATATGGCAATGCTAAAAAAATGCATGTTGCAGTTAGTTAATAAAAATGTTTAGGAAGCTGCACTGTAATTTTGATTCGATTCGATTCTCTGATGTACTATAATAAAATTGCAACAGCTGAAATCCAACAAATGCAACCCAAATCTAGAATTGCACTGATTCCCTACTGGTTCCACCAATTGGACATGACCTGGAATCTTATTGCTGTAATCAATGTGACATTCCTGAAAACCAACTGCTGCCAGCAATGTGAAACAACTACTATACAGCCAACCAACTTACATGGTCTGAAATCCCACTACTGCCACTATCACATGACCTAGTACACTTCCATTACTGCCACAGGAGCAGGAGATGGCGACGGCATTTTACCATTACCACCAATAGTTGGTACAAATCGCAATTAGATAAAATTGTAAATGCCACAATATTAAGTACATGGTATAAAGAAAAAATACTACTATTGCCATTCTTAAGAAACCAGAAAAATTAAATGCCTGAAAAATTATATAGGAATGATTACTCATAAAAAGGTTGGACGGATAAAATTCTATTTTTTTTTTTGTACATTTCTAAACTAACTGCAACACACACTAGTTTCTGGGTAATACTCAATCCACTGAAAGACAAAGTCAACACATGTCTTTGAGTCAAACTAAATTGTACATTTGCTTATAAGTAATTTTCCATGTAGCA